TCTTCTCTCTCTCCCTCTCTCAGTCTCTGCCTTGCCTAATTCCTTACTGATCGGATCGCCTCCTCCTTTCCACATTCCCACCCGCCCACCGTTCGCTCCAAGTCTCCAACCTCTCGTTGTCTGCTTCGCCGACCCTCGCTGTTACTGTCATCATTTGTTGCATATCACTTCGTGTCGTGCCCATCCATCCCACGACTTGACTCCGTTCCTGTTTATTCACTCGTTCTCATATCCTAATACCCCAGTTTCCATCACTACCCATCGCATCGCATCGGCGAACCCCCCCCTGGCTCGCCCGCTTGTCCATCGTCTCTGGCCTTGTACAGCCCGGGTCCAGCTTTTTTGCATCTCTTTGCGTTTGGATAAAAAAAGTTTGAATGAGATCATACGGCTTCTGGTTTCACGCCCTCGCATACGCTCTATAGACTAATACTTGTCTCATCGCCTTCTCGACTGTTCGCCGTCTCATTCTGTCTTGTTGGAAAGACTCCTTTGGTAAGTCATCGTCAAGCCATTCCTCTTGTCCTCCCTCATTCCTCAGCCCACCGGCCCAGGCCTATACATAGCTGCGCTCCCCCTTCGGATTCGCGACATCGCGGCGCGCGAGAGCGGGAGAAGCATTGCATTGTTGTTGAGAGCCCAGGTCCATCGCTAAGGCTGCTGGCGGCTACCATTTCCGCAGTACTCTCATTCCCCATCTTCCCGTCTCCTCGGTCCCACGAGTGGCCACATACCTAGCTCAGTCGCATACTGGAGACACTCTTGCGATACCTCGCACACGCGCACAAGTCAACCGACGACGGATCGCAGTTGCAGCTGACATTCTGGATTCGTTCCGCTACGCAGTATCTCCTCGCTTACCGCACTTTGGTGTCACACTCCGCACCGAGTACTGACGCGAGCCACAAACAAAGCCCTCCCGAATCTCAGCTATCTGTCGTCATCCCACATCGGCTGACCCGCCTCGTATCGCTTTTTTTTTTCTGCACTGCGGCCCCAGCCCGAGGCGAAGGACAGCCCCGAAGGATTTATCCTTACGAAGCCCGCTTCTCGAACTACTCGGCGTGTAAACGCGCAACGTTTCTGTCCCGCTGGGAAATACGAATAGCGGTTCATCCATATGCCTAGATTCTCCGTCTCTTTCGGCAGGCGGCGATCGACCGTCAACTCGGAAGAGTTCCATGATGAGCCAGTAGAGACAACGACCAAGGAAAGGCCGACATCCTTCCGTGTCTTAGAAAGGACTGAAGTTGGAGCTGGAGCAGGACAAAAGTCATTTGATGGTGGACACAGGCTGCTCAAGGCAACCACGATGGCAATTCCTCCCAAGCAATACTCGGACTTGTCTCTCGAGGACAACAACATATTTGCTGACGTGAAGAACAACCGGTATGTGCATCCGTCCCATTTTCCTTGAATCACATTTCCATTTCAGAACACATTCTTGGCCCTGATGGGCAGAAGGAGGTGGGATTGAGAAAGCAAGAAAAGCGAGACCTGGAAAGCAAGCAGAAAAAAAGAGGGTTGGCATGCATTCCACAGCGGCATGTCTCGGACTCAGCGGCGGATTGTTGCCCTGCTAGTGGTCTTTTTCTTGCTGTCTCGATTTCCCTCCCTCCCCTGTCTGCAATTCATTTCAGGGCCATTGCAAGGATTGTGTCTAACGTCGACTGACTCAGCTTAAGGGGAAGTGGGTCATCTAATACCACCAAAACAACCTCGACAGATACTTCTTCGCGCCACAGCAACGTCTCAACCACACCGTCTTCGGCTGACCTCGGCCACCAAGGGGCTCAGGAAGAATGGAAACCCTCGATTAGAAAATCACAGACCGAAGTTCCAGCTCCCAAGCACAGCTCTGGTGGGTTCCTAAGCAAAGCCGGCAGAACCTTTTCCTTTGGCGGTCAAAAGAAGAATCAAGTTCCCGTCGACGATCATCCTCTACCTCCTCCGCCCTTGCCTCCCCAGCAGGCGTCGCTGGAGGACGACCATAATACCCGCAGACCACGAGGTTTGACAGATTCTACCGACAGAACCGCCACGCCTCCCAAGCTCAGCGAGGAGGACTTCGCCCTCGACTTTGGTAGTAATTTTGGTAATATGTTCAAAGGGTCAGGATTCGACAAAAGAGCTAGCCAAATGACGCTTCCCGGCAACGACAAGTCCAACATGGGACCTCGGTCCCTCACAACAAACCGAGTCAACCAACCCCAGCCGTCGCCCATCAAGATTGACAGGTCCATCAAAGTCGAGGCATCACCTTATTCATGGAGCAGCCAACATTCTAATGATAATCTGCTGCACTCCGGCTCCAACTCTCCCCCAGCCACTGCACCGCCGCCAGTGCCTCGACATGGCTCACCACTGGCCTTCCGCAACAATGTGCCATCCGACATCATCGAAGACGAAGATGCGAACCTATTGAAGGACTCGGTGGCAGCTAGTCGATTTCTTGGCGGTTCCAGTCAGCCTAGCAACCCGTCTCCACCTGGCAGATTCCGCAGAAATGAAGATGCATTCTCGACAGCGTGGGATGCAACGGACAGCAAGAAGGAGGAGGAGAACATGTTCGATAATAGCAGAGCACAACCGCCCAAGCCGCCCGCGAACACGCAGCGCTACACATCCAACAACAACAACAACCACGGCCCGCCCCGAAACAAAGTCATGACTCCCGCCGAGTTCGAAAAGTACCGTCGAGACAAGGAACGCGATGACAACACCAGCGAGACGGTTAAGGCATCCGACGACAACCGCGATGATGATGAGGACCAGTATGACGACGACGAGGATGACATTGAAAAGGCGAAGCTAGCAGCCAAGCAGAGGAAGAAGCAGGAGGCTCACATGGCCGTCTACCGACAGCAGATGATGAAGGTTACGGGCGAGAACCCCATGGCCGGCCCTTCCGGACATGCCACCCGACCAAACCTGTCCGTGTCGCTCAGCACCCCGAACCTCGGAAACCTGGCCGTCCCCGCGGGTCCACTGACTGGAAGATCTGACGGTTCCGAAGGAGAGGAGGATGAAGAAGTGCCTCTTGCCATCCTGGCTGCACACGGATTCCCGAACAAAAACAAGCCGCCTGCCCGACTCCTAAACATGGCTTCAAACCCCGATCTACGTTCATCCGCTCAGAACCAGCCCCAGCCTGCGAGACCGGGGTCGAGCATGGGCGAGGGAACAGGGCCGAGAGGAACAAGTGGTGGGCATCTTCCCGCATTTGCGAGGAAGCTCCCGCAGGATCCGTTCTTAGGTGCAGGTCTCATCAACGGACCTCCACGCGAGTCTCTTACGTTTGGTGGAGGCTCTCCGGCTCCCGGTGCCCAGCAGCCAGGTGTCGTGGGCGGCCTTGTCGGTGTAATTGCTGGCGAAGAACGAGCCCGGGCCATGCGCAGGGGTAGCCCCAACGTCGAGGCCAACGTCGACCCCTTCACGGGAGCACCGGTTGGCCCTGGCAACGGGGTTCCGGCCTCCATGGTATACAGCAACATGAACGGAATGAACGGCGGAATGGGAGGCATGGGTGGTATGGGAGGCATGCCGCAGATGCAGCAAATGCAACAGATGCAACAAATGCAGCAGATGCAGGGAATGCCGGGAATGCCTCAGATGCCTCAAATGCCCCAGATGATGCTTACACCAGGAGACCAGGCACAGATTCAAATGACCCAGCAGATGCAGCAGTTTATGCAGATGCAGATGCAGTTCATGCAAATGATGGCGACTCCGGGTGGTCAGAACATGAACGCCATGAACGCCATGAACGGAATGAATGGCATGCAAAGACCGATGAGCCATGTTGGGACACCCTCCGTCCACGACAGCCAGCGCCAGTCTTACTTCGGAGATTCCATGCTGGAGCCCCCTCGACTTGACCCCCGAACGAGGACCATGAGCATGGTGCAACCCAGCTCCTCTTCATGGATCCAACCTCCCGGAGGAGGATTCGCTCCATCTATTCACGGAGGCATGGGCGGTGTTGGTGGGTACGCACCCAGTATTCACGCCCAAGGTGCCGGGTATGCCCCCTCGATCGCACCCTCGGAACGCAGCAACGTGGGCTTACCAGGCCGTTACAGACCCGTAACGCAGCAAGCGCCCCAGTTGGACTCTGGCCGACGCATGTCGGTCATGTCGGGAGCCATGGGATGGGACCAGCCTCCCAAGGTCGTTCAGCAGCAAGAGAATAAGTTGCCCGACAAGTCCAACAACAACTCGGACGATGACGACGAAGAGGGATGGGCTGCGATGAAGGCCAAGAAGGAGAAGAAGAGGGGACTGTGGAGGACGAAGAAGAGCATTGGCAGCGAAATTGGAGCGCTCATCTCATGAGGGTACACAAAATGACGAAGCCACATGGTTAAAAGGAGGATGAGAGAAAGAGATGGGAAATCGGAACACGACGAAACAAAAAAAAAGACTGGACATATTACCAAAAGGAACACAGACACACACACATCACGCAACTCATCTAAGGCGTGTTTGGGTTCGCTTTTTCGATCTAGGGTTTGGTGTAGGGTATTTATTCGGCGCACCCTCATCAAGTGTACATTCTGGGAGAAATCTGTTTGCCGGGCGTCGCTGCGGGAGTGAAAGAGCAAGATGAAAGGACTTGGATATTGTTTACAAAGTCATGATAGACAGCTCTTGGTGCCATAATCAACTAATGTTGGAGAAAAAATGACTATGAAGACGAGCCCTCCGTTTTAACGATGCGATGATTATGTTTGCGAAGTGTTTGGTGTATTACCTACCTACCTACTCAGGAGCCCCAAGTATTTTCACTCTTATCAATGTGATCACTCAATTGTTTGATGTGTGTGTACAAATGGCAAGTAAATTTCAATGGGTCAATCTCTATCCACGATAGACCCTTGGTATGATTTCTCCAGTTTCTTTTTGTTTATCCTTTTTCGGATTCTTTTACTTTTTTCCAGTAAGCGTCTAAAAACCAAAGGGTTCCCCCCGTCCTTTTCATTCAACTCGAGATGCAGCCCTTACTCCATCTTGCCCGTGGCCCAGGCCCTGCGCTTGGCGCCGAGCTCGACGGCAGCCAGACCCCAATCCTCGCCGTGGTTGTGGCCGCCAGAGGTAAGTCCGGCCCGGGCCTGAGCCTGCTCGTCGCTGAGGACGGTGAGGACACCAAAGATGACGGGGATGCCCGTGTCGAGGCCCACGCGCATGAGGCCCTGGGAGACGGCGTCGGCAATGTACTCAAAGTGCATCGTCTCGCCCTTGATGAGGACGCCGACGGCAATGATGGCGTCAAAGGGCAGCGCGGTTTCGGTGGGAAGGGAGGTCAGGTCCGTGGTCGAGGCGCCGAGGAGGTCGCCGGCCGAGGTGCCGGTGCCGGATTGTGCGGATTGGACTTGGGAGGCTTGGTAGAGTCTGTGGGAAGGAATTGTCAGCCAAAGGTAGCTAGCTACTGCTGGGTTTTTGGATTGCGAAGAGCGGAAGTTCCGAAGCCCCGCGGTCAGTCTTGCGTGTTGCGACCTGCTTGCCTGCCGTTTGACTCACCTCTGGACGGAGATGGGGAGCTCCCAAGCTCCCGGGACGGACTGGACGACAATGTTGGAATCCTTTACGCCACAGGCGAGGAGCTTCTCCTTGGCGCCCTTGACGAGGGGCTCGATGATGGACGAGTTCCAGCGGGCGTGGACGATACCAATGCGCAGGGCGCTGCCGTCGTGCTGTTGCGGGGTAGGTCCCTTGATGTCGGACATTTTGAAGTTGAGTGGTTGGTGGTTGTGAAGAGGAGGGGTATCAAGACGTTTGGTGTAGGTTCGTGGGTGAGGTGGTCTTTCGCGACAGGTTGACAGCTCGGTTTTGGCGGGGGTGGTTTGAAGATGGCAAGTAGTGGGATGGACAGCAATGCTTTCGGGAGCTGGGAAGAGCTACGTAAGGTGCGGGTTTGGCTTAGGAATCGCTTGTAGTGTATTACGGGATAGCAAGGCGGGCGGGCTTCCAGGAACGAGGACCTTGCGATGCGGGGCAACAACGGTTTGAGGTGCTTGCGTGCCTTGCACCTGCGAGTGGAGGGGAGCTGCGGGGCTCGGCGCCCTGGCAAACCTGGGAATCTGCAGGAAGCAGGCAGGGCAACCTTCCGTTACGGTTTACCTTAGCTTTGGCACGGCCGGCGCTGCTCTGACCAGAGCTCTCTGCTCCAACTGCGACCAGCTGGCGAGCCACTGCTTTCTTGGATGGGCAATGACCTACTTACACGCTTCCTTCCTCTGTCTGCTGTTAGGTACGTCTCTTGCCTTCCTCTCAAGTTCAGATCCGGCAGGTTTTTCTTCTCTTCGTAACACTGTAGTCTTTATAATTCTCATTGCCGCTACTCTCACGTCTTTGTGTAGACCTTGTCCTTCGCCATCTAGAAATATTTCCTCTCTTTACGGGGGCACCTGCTCTGTCTTCCATGCTTGCATCGGTCTCATTGAACCCCAGATTCGTGTAGAATGTCAATATCTCAACTATCTCAGGCCACAGTCCGCCAGCTTGGATCGTCTGCCGTCATCCCATCCCCTGTATCACTTGTCAAGGAACTCGTGGAAAATGCTATTGACGCCAATGCAAACAACGTCGAGATCAGGATATCGGCAAACGCAATAGACAACATCCAGGTCAGAGATAACGGTCACGGCATCTGCTTTGAAGACTACGATGCTCTTGGACGCTGGTCACATACCAGTAAGCTCCGGACATTTGATGAGCTTCAGTGCAAGGGAGGCCAGACACTTGGGTTTCGCGGCGATGCCTTGGCAAGCGTGAACGCCATCTCGAAGCTCACCATCACAACGAGAACGATTCAAGATCAGGTGGCAACACTGCTGGTACTCAACCCCAAAGGCGGCGGTGTAACGAACAAGAAGCATGTTTCGGGCTCCGTTGGGACGACCATCGACGTCTCAGACTTGTTTGCCAACATTCCGGTTCGCAGGCAACAAATTCAGAAGGAGAGCAAGAAAGCATACGCTCAGGTCAGGGACCTTCTTCAGGTGTACGCACTTACTCGACCGCACCTTAGGCTTTCCTTGAAAGTCATGAAAAACGACAAGCTCTCATGGTCTTATGCGCCAGGCAAAGGCGTCGGCGTCCGAGAGGCAGTTCTCCAAGTATTCGGCTCCGAGCTGGTTTCACAGTGCGTCTAGAAAACGTTCAGTGGAACTACACCTGCGATCTCAGCAACGGAACCGGGGAGACCAGACACGCCAGCATCTATCATGAGACTTGAGGCTTTTGTACCGAGGGCTGATGCCGATCCCGTGAAAGTGTCTGGCAAAGGCTACTTCATCTCCGTTGACTCGAGGCCCATGACTACAGCGAGGGGTACAATGAAGAAGCTTGTCGATACTTACAAACAACACTTACGCAGCTGTGTCGTTCTCGCCGGTTCTTCCAAGTCCATTTCCAAGCCTTTCATACGCTTGAATGTCGAATGCATTCTCGGAAGCTACGATCCTAACGTAACCACGGCCAAAGACGAGGTCATCTTTGCAAACGAGCCCAAATTGCTAGCCCTGTTCGAGGACATGTGCAAGGAGATATACCAACCAACCGAGCCCGAACCAGTGGTTGAAGTTGTCACCGAAAATCTCCAAACTTCGAACCAGCAAGCTAGACACCAGACTCCAGATCTTCTCCCAGACGATGACGAAGAAGACTATGACCTCCTTCAAGACTTGGCATCGGTCGAGGAAATGAGTTCTGAAAGAGCACCAACCGGCCTGGTTTCTCCTGAGAGTGGACAGCAGATGCCAGGATCTCCCAACAGAGAGCCTGTACACGGCTGGAGAAGTGCACTTGAGGCGATGGAGGGTTCAAGCGATCCCACTTGGGTGAACCACGACTTGAGAAATGTTGGCAATGGCATCATCGTGGACAGGTCCTCTCTCTCAAACTTGGGGCAACCGCAAATCAGCCGACAGGCCGAGGAAGACACCCAGGAACCAATACTCACCCAAACCCTCCTTCGAACTGGTTGGGAGGTGAACATGGCTCGAGATGAGACTGCAAGCCCAGATGGTCAAACGCAACCGATTCTTTTGGGCCCTCCCAGTACGGGCATACACGAGTTCATACAGTCACAGATGGAAGAGCAGACCCAACGGGAGGAACCAAATCCATGGTCTCTGGCAAAAATAGCGGCTGGACAACGTTCTACTCACCGCGAAGACATGCTTGGCCTTCGACTCACAGGCGAGCATAGCGACAGCAATCTGGGTGGCACAGCTTCTCGCCAGCAAGACCATATCTCTGTGATAGCAGAGCTCATGCAGGAAGCCGATGAAGTAATGAGCCGGAGTATCGAAGACCAAAGACATTCCCAGCAGCAGCAATCTCAACGCCTTTGGGTACCTGCTGCAGCAAGGGAGGAAATATACGATCCAGATAACTTTGAGCCACCGATCCTACAACACCCTGCCGCCCCACCAACTAGTTATCAGATTCCAAGACACCAAGAACCGCGAGAAATTTCAAGAGATGAGGAAGCATTCCATTCATCCATTACTGGACACGACAATGAAGACCTAGATGTGATGCCGCAGAGAGGCCCAGGCGTTCGCCGACGCATCGGTGCCAAGACGCCGTATCCCTTTGCGAATCTTGATCAGAGCAGTGTGCTTGGCACACCTCCTATGTCTTCTAGTCCGTTGCGCAAGCCATTCCGGGTGCCTGCCCGCATCGAACAAGGCAGAGACCTTCATGTACGACCAGCACTACCAAGGCCCACCCAGGCCACTCGGAGATTTGAGCCTCACAGGGCAGACGGACTGAGACAAATCAAACTTGCCGTCGACACCCGAAGAGAGAGGCAGCAACTAAGGCTAGAGGATACGTCGACTTATTGCCCTCCTTCGGTGGGGGCGAGACCGGATGACATCTATGATGGTTTCGAGAAGACAAGGAAGTCAAAGCATCACTACCAGCAAGCCAGCCCAGAGCCAAATGAGAGACAGATGTTGGAGAGACTGAACGCTCTACGCCACAGAACTGAAGAAGAATATGGAGAGATTGCAGAGGACGAGCGAGGTAGATCGCTCTCTAGGAGAGCTACGACTACCCTGCCGGACATGTCTCCTCGAAGATACCTGAAGAAGAGACTAGCATCTAGGTCTAGGTCGAGAACCAAGGTACACAAAAGGATGAGATCGGAGATGCTCCCATTTGAGAAGCTGTTCTCAGAGCCCCATACTCAGACATGGCCACTTACACTTGATCTACAAGATCTGCGGAAGCAGGTTACAGATGCATCTAACTATGATCTCTATATCACCAGAGGCATCCAGGAAGTGGCGTTTCACATGGGAAAGAATGAAATGGAGAACATCAGCAACAAGCTTCAAGAAATCGTGGGCGCTTGGGTGTATGAGAAGCATGGAGTTGAAGTGGAGCTTGAGATTGATACTGGGGCATTGTGTGAAGAAGGAGATGTGGGAGTATGATGAGATAAGTCACTTTGCTTCATAGAGTGCGTTTTGTCGTTCGAGGGCCAGGTGTAGGTTGCGTCTACAAGGCGGCTTTGCTATGAGAGGAGTTATTATTATCTGCATGCAGGGCTGTTACTTACTTCATATAGATAAGGACCGCCACATGTTCACTTCAATGGACGCATCTCTGCCTTAAATACTCCTTGCTCGGCTCGCAGTCTCGTCTACCGTGCGTAGCTATCTCACGCTTCACTCTGGATCTGTGTCACCTCTTACTTCCAAGAACTTGCTCAAAGTTGGAACTCTTGGAAAAGCCTACGTGCAGACGATAATCCTTGGAACCTTCGTTTGTCTCCGCCCCATAAAGCTTCATGCCTACCTGGTCTAATGATAGGGCTCGCTTCTAAAAAGACGTCGAGAAGTCTAGGACTAGCTCGGTAGACACGGCGGGCTGTGGGGGGTGAGAGTACCTATCATCCTATCATGCTGGAAATATATGCATTCGTCACGTTTGTATATTTGGCACGTTAAGTAGGGACCCAGTAGTTTGCAAAACAAGTATGTATATATATGGAGAATGGGGATGCCCCGACTTCCAGAACCAATCTTCACGGCCGATTGGAACTAGCGATTGTAACGTAGGAAATTGCAGTATATCTTGCCCGGACAGCAAGATACTTGATCACTCAGGGCAGAGGTAGTGAAGTTGAACCGACACCATGTATGCCTTCCTAAGGGTACGTCACTTCATTGCGAAAGCAGCGGGGGAAAAAAAGGCTGGATGGGAAAAGGGGGTGTGGAGGGGTGGCGCTGCCGATCAGAGACAGGCAGCGATGATACGGGAGTCCACAAAACCCGGCCGCTTGGATGAGTACACGTACTTGAACGTATACAGGCAAGACAGGTATTCCTTTAAACCTCTGTGGGACTGGGATTGAACTCTTTTCCCGCGTTGAACGCGTCGTTATCGGGTTAAAAAAGGGGACTCGGCTGGCCTAAGATGATGATTTGCCTTGATGCCAAATCCCATATGTATTATCGTCACGGCCTCAGAAGGGATGGGAGTTTACCATCGTCGATCCCACGATAGTAGACTTCGCAGTGGTATACATGAGTGCCTTCCAGCCGGACCGTTTCCCCGAGTATGGAACGTCGGTGAGAGGCTGGGAGGTCTTTCTATCCCCTCCATGGTGCAGCACAGCAACGGGTGGGGATCGAGGAAGAAGACAGCATCGTATTCCTGCTGCACCGGTGCCTACCTACTATCCAAGCTGGTGTGTAAAGGCCGGGAACTTGTTCTTCTGCAGCAACTTTCGGGGCCTACTGTAATTAACCACACCGTTCGTGCGCATGTGAGGCGAGCCCGGTGACGGCGCCCCACAGGCTCCGGCTTCATGGCGTCTTCCTGTCTCACATTAGGTTCCCGCGAGGATAGGGCTGGGCTGGCCTGGAAACGGTGTAGGTGCTTGCGTGAGACATAGAAGACGGCTACAGGACAGAGGCCAAGACTGGCCATTTCCCGGAAGAAGCTATGCAGTGGCGGGCAAGGCGAGCACGCGGAGTGAGGCATGGGGACCACGATGTTGACTTGGAGCCATACTCCTCTGCACTGGGCCAAGGTAGCATCTACAAAGCCCGCACACTGCCAGTATCGACGGCTGAAATCCGGCCCGTGAAACACAGGTTTGCACCCATCTGTAAACATCCTAACATACCATAATACGGACGGCCATCAAGTGAGAAGAAAGCCCATAGACCTGCGTTGTTGAGCAAGGAGGTGGCAGTAAACTAGCAACAGACCGCGAAGTCAAGCGGAATGATATGATGTCGGCTTCGTCGTCGTCCGGGACGGCGGCAGCAATGGGCAAGTGGGGCTGAAGAACGTCGTTCGGACAGCATGATGACACTGAAGCCAGCGGTGCAAAATTATGCATACGTGCCGGGTAAAGAGCCTCCAGGCCGAAGTCTGGAGCAAATATTAAAGGTTGCCGAAAATAGCTACAGCCAAAGTAAGCGAGACATATGGAGACCGGCTTGTGCAGAAGTTCGTATTAGGGACGCGAAGGAATCTGATTCCTATTTGCTGTCGCCGCAGGTGGTGGAGGGAAAGGCGGTATGATTGGGTTAGTCAACTTGCGAGTTATCGCAGTTGGCGGATGACGGGTTCTGGCGAAGAGAGTCAATGTTTCACTACCAAAGTTTGACGTACGTTTGCTTGGGCTACTTACGCAAGCACGGCAAGGTTGGCAAGGTTAGGTCGTAAGGCAGGTCCTACATGCCCAGACAATCGAGTTGTTGACTTGTTCCTAGTTTTTGAGATGATCGATCTAGCCTCTATGCACGGATAAAGGTTGAGTTTGGGCATCGCATTGAGTCTGGAATATCATGCTGCCATGCAATCCGAGTCGATTCTCTTTTTGCAGAGACGGGTGATGATGTTATGAGTATGTACGAGTATAGGTACGATGGCTATGGCCAAGGGTGTGTTGTGCGAATGAAGTGTCGAGTTGTGCAACTGGGGGTATAATGACCAGATGCTATACATGGAGAACCCGTCAATCATGATTGAAGGCTGGTCTGCTGGGATTGGAGCGTCGCACACGGTGCCGCGGGTTGGACGATCCTCTGCGATGCATGTGGGCTACTTGCTCAGTGCCTTGGAAATTGCTATTGCCAGAGACATTCAGATCTCGATCGGTGGTTTTGTCGTTTTTGCGCCTCTTCCCATAGCGACTACTGACGATGATGCCAGGATTAATGCTCATTTAGTAGGTGGTATGGAGAATCTAGTTGGATGCTTGCCAACAAATTGCACAGACAATGAGGATTCGACAGGTACTGTATCGATCGGTGGTCCGGGTTTCGTCTGAAGTCATAGTTCCGTACTGCCACATTTATGTTTAGTTGATGATCCTGGCAACTTGGCCCATGCGCGCGACTCTCCTCATCTCCGTCCAAATTGTTTCCCGAAGGCGAACAATGTGTCGGTAATCGGAGGGGGAGACGAGGATGAGGGCAGAAATTTATTGGCCAGGCGTGCCATGTGCCTGTTACCGTACTGTAGCATTGTACGGATACGCATATTAGAAGATTACCATTCTTGATGTAGTGAAGTACCAACAGAGTCCGTTCAAAAGCAGAAGACAGACGAACTAGCCTCCGATGCACACTGCAAGCACGGGGGGCTGGATATGCCCGTATGCAAGTCACGAAAGCGATTGAATTGCCATCTCAGGCCTGAAGGGTGCTTGGGCTCAGCGTGTGTGTCATTGCCCTGGTACTGCCTTGCTCTGCTCTTCTCGGCTCTGCGTTAGCTCACGGCACGTTATGACACTGCTGGGCCACTTGATTTTTAACAGATGTGGTTTTGGTGATAAGCGGAGGACGGTGTCTTACTTGCCAGTACTCCGTACTACCTAAATTATATCGAAGTTGGCATGTTATCTCCGTGTGAGACGGTCCCATTGATTGCGCGACGGATGACATTAGACACATCCAAGTCAGAAACAAGGTCTCACGCCAGCTATTGGTGTTGAAATGGATCGAGGTGAGCTGGATTTGCGGAATTCCATCGGCACGTCATAGGGTGGCAGTCTTGGTTTCAGGCCGGGCGCTAGACAAGCACTGCCATTGGGAAACCTTCTTCCCCTCGCCCTTGTCTTGACTTATGTACCGGCCCCCGTCGTCTGTCTCCTTGGGACGAGCCTAGGTTCGAGCGAGGTTTGCGCTGGAGACGGATAGATGGTGTGTATACGGAGTAGTTATTCGAATGGTGCGTAGTTGGAGAGTGACCCTGCGTGAGGCCACTTCAGTTATTCGTAGCCAGAAGAGAAAAGAAGGGGTCCAGGGTTTTCATGGCGGCGAAGCGAAGAATACGTAGTAGAGAGCGGACAAGCCATGTCTGGGCCTTGTTAGTCGGCTGGGCGACGAGACGAATTGAGCAAATGGTCGGGTGGGCTCGCCGTGACATGTAGAAAATAGTGGCAGTAGTGGGCAGACAAAGTACAGAATATCGATAGCCCAGGGACCGAAGAGAGTACGCAGTATGTATCCGTAATAAAGGTGACCAATTTTCTCAGGTCGCTCCCACCTTTTGGCTGACCTGACCTGAATTGAAATGGGTACGAACAGAGATGGGCCAGACGGGCGAGGTAGGAGGAACGGGGCTCGGCTGCGCCTTACTGAGTGGGGAACTGCACATCCATAGCCTGGCTGGGGGTGTCCAACGGGCAGCCAACCGGCAACTTTGAATGCGCCCGGGGACCCCTTGGGTTTGTGGCTTTTTGGGGAAAGAAAAATGTGGATGGATGGATTAATGGGGAGGGAGTGGAAGGAACTCAGCACACTCAGTTCCTTCTTGAGAAGGAAACGGGAACCCAGCGAGCAGGCACCCAGCAAACTACCTACCCCCTGACAAGAAGGTGCTGAGAAAAGGTACTTGCTCCGAAGTACCTTCCATTCTCCCAATTGATACGAATACATCGGGAAAAGTACTTTGAAGTTCGAACCTCCCGCTCCTATCCCATCAAGTCTCTCGCGGCCTCGCCCCGGATCATGCTGAGCAACTGGGCTGCCCCTAGCAGCTGGCCAGCGCACTGATGAATCCTCAATGGCCGACAGCACCGAGAACCGAAGGCGAAGTGAACCTCCACTGGAATCATTCCATCGTCTTACATACAACGTGTGAGCTGTCCGTGGCACGGGAGGGCGGCAGGGCGACAAGGGCCACCAAGGGCGAGTTAACGTGCAGACACAAGACCCGAGAAGTTAGAACATGAAGTGAGAATGCTCAGCCACAGTCCATCTTGCAGTAGAATCGTTTCCGTGTCGCACCTCAGCTCTTTTGCCTGCATCCCAGACGCAAAGTTCCCTGAATTGAACCTACGCAGTAATTACTAACCGTAGGTCTGGGTCAATTCTGCTTGTCTTGTGCTGAGCTGGTCGACCGATCCGCACCTCACAGGCTCACCTTGACAGGGCATGGGCTTGAACGGGCATGGACAGGGGGTCTACGAGATACATGCGCCAAAGTCACTTTTCGCAAAAGAAGGACGAGAAACCAGAGAAGGATCCCTGGTATCCGTACTCTTACCAAGTACCTGCTCCCCTGGCCTCACTCCAACTCTTCCATTGAGCTGCTCTCCCGCGCAACAACATCCCGTCTTTCCTGCCTGCACCTGCACCGCCGACACCACCACCACACACACGCCGCTCAGTCAGACAGAGACACACACCCACTCAGGCAACATTCCTCCCTCTCCCCTCTTCGAATTTTTCATTCTTCCATAGCACAGGCCAACCCGACACGCGATCAACACATCGACGGCAACGAGCCAAACCCGTACGGATACTGGAAGGAAAATAATTTGACAAAAGGCGAGCAAGGTCGAGATCACGATATCGCGCCAACGAATCGAGGAACGGAATCACGGCGACAATACGATACGAGGCGACCGCTGCAGTACCCCCAAGATGCCGGGATTCTAGCACACCACTCCCGTGTTCCTCTTCTTTGCCTCAGTGCGTCTTTCGTTCACCCCACGCCGTCCCTCCTGCCTCCGGAGCAGCCTTCGACTACACGCCAGGCGGGACGCCTGTCCGAAACATGCGAATGCCTCCATCTGCTTCTCCACGAGACCTACCCCATCCCGAGAGCCTTCCAAGACATGCAGTGATAGCCCACCCTGGACGTGGAAAGCGCGTCCCTTCGCTGTCATTCCAACCCGTCAAGTCTTCACACTTGTTGTCGAGGCAGAACACTCGCTCGCCTCTTCAAGGATCCCGATATCCTTCATCACACTCGCTCACGATGGATCGCAGCCATGGTCGTCGACTGTTGCCATTGCCATCTCGAACCCGTAGATCTGCTGTGGACTCCTTCGGCGCGCTGCTCACCATCATTCTCGCCTGCCTGCTGATAAGGCCTGCCTACGCAGTCCTGATCCCTTTCGACAACTGCCTGCCTGACAGCTACCGAAACTTCGACCCCTTGCCGCTGCAATGGAGCCCCGTATACGTAGACGCTCGCTTCGATACCGAAAACCCAGATCACCTTCTTCAAATCATCGTATGGGGCAATGTATCTGGCTCTCTTTACAAGGTGGATCTGCCTGTTAAAGGCTCTCCGCTGTGGAATGATTCTAGCAGCACGGATGGCAAAATCCTTGACTACACGAAAGAAGGGAACAAAGTCACAACTCTTGCCAGCAAGGTCAATTTCTTGACCTACGAGCCATTCAGCAACGTCTCGAGTTTCTGCAACTACAGCCTGGTCAATGGGTCGTGTCCTCTCCCCCCCGTCTTCAACGACACGGCCATGTAAGTATCCCTCAAGGCAATCTTGCTGCACGTCGACTGACATCTTACCAGTACCAACCCGTACGGGATTTTGCCCTCTGTAAATATTACGACCAAGATGGAATCGTCCTATGCATTTACGTCGCTAGCCGCGACATTGCAAGTCATATACGGCGACGACTCTGCCAAACATATCGCATGTGCCTCCGCCACTGTAACCCCAGACCTGGGAAGTCTTCGCGATCTTCTGCGTTATCTGCCGCTTGTGGTTCTTCTCTTCGTAGGATTTGCAACCATGTTCGCCTCCGTTTTCAGTCCGTGGGGTTCGACCGACATCTTTCACTGGACGACAAATTATGGCCGAGACGCTGATCTGTTGCGATTGGTGACACCGGGATTTGGAGACTGCCTCCAGTACATTCAATTTGTGGCTCTCACCGGAGGGCTGACTCTCAACTATCCCGGATTCTACCAACCAGTCGTCAGTCAGGTGGGTTGGTCTGCGCTGATGTTCAACGAGAGCTTCGTTAGCAAGTCCCCAGGCTGGCAATCGATTCAAGACGGTATTTACGTCACCAATGGCACCTACGGACTGCACCAGTACGCACAAATGGTGGGCATGACCGATGTCGAAGACATTTGGGCGGGAACGATGGTCTGGGTCTGCGTCATCGTCGCGGCTCTTTTCGTCCTCATTCAAATCGGCTTCTTCTTCCGCTGGGTGCTTCGGTTTATCAGCGATACCCCTGAAGAGGACCTCCGTGCTAAGAACATTCCGTTCTCTGTGGGTAATGTCGTGCGTGTCGTCTTCAACTACCTCCTGCTGCCTATTGTTGCACTGTCAACATTTCAACTGGTGGTTGCCAGTCAGTCACGCGAGTTTGCTGTTGCTCTAGCTGTCATCACCCTTCTCATGTTGGTATGCTTTGCCGCATGGCTCCTTTATCTGATCTTTAGGACCCGACCAAGAGCTGTCCTATTCGATGATTTGCCGACTGTGTTGCTCTATGGGCCTCTTTACAACACCTATTCGGACGAGGCAGCGGCCTTTGCGTTGATTCCTGTCACGCTGACGTTCATCCGCGGCATCGCGATTGGCGCCGTACAACCTGTTGGCATCGCACAAATTGTTTTGCTTGCTATTTGTGAAGTCGTTCATCTCCTGACCCTTCACGCTTTCAGGCCGTTCCAGTCTCCGACATCTATGAACGCCTACCATACGCTTTTCTCTGCTTTGCGGTTCACCACCGTTATGCTCATGGTGGCGTTCGTGCCGCAAATGGGTGTTACAGAGGGTCCCAAAGGATGGATTGGCTACACCATCCTACTTATTCACGCCTGTGTTTTAGTTCTTGGATTCTTCCTGAACGCACTGCAAACGATAATTGAGGTAACTGCGCGACTAATGGGTGCTGGAGGCGACGACACGCGGGGTCTGCAACGCGGTGGGCTGTCAAAGATATTTGGTATGCGACAGCTGCAACGTCGTACCTCTCGAAGGGAGAATGGTCCTTCACGGGCAAGCCAACTGTCGACCACGGGCATGCTGGACGCCGATGAAAATTCAAAGACTGGATATGTAATGCGGGGCGGCAGACTGAGAAGCGAGTCGGCAGGAAGTGGTTTCCTCCTCCGAAGCCAGCAACGGAGCTCTTCCGCACTAGACAGTATCGATCCGTATACCGGTCAAGTCCGTAACTTCGACAGTGGTAGCAACTTTACCCCGACAACGCCAGGTGAAGTTAGCACCTTCTCGTTCTTGCCGTCACCTGCTGCAGCCACACGACCTCCTGCTGCCGTCACCGTCGAATCTGCTGATCCTTACTATCGACCTCCGCGACGTCGTGGCGACACTCTCAATGGATCATCCACGTCCCTTCCTCACCGAGCGTCCGTCGCCGATTCTCGACGTTACAGTCAAGGGGGAGCACATCTTGCCGATGCTACGGCAGACTTGGAAGCACAACTATCAAGGGGCCCGACACCCGCCCCCCAAGCCATTAACTTGACCCCGAGAGCGGACTACTCGACAAGAGAGGTGGATTTCTACTACGGCGTTCGAGGACCAGCCCTCAACTCGGAGGGCATCGGTCGTAAACTGAGGACTGGCCCTGCCGATCCGACCAAACCAATGGCCACCGCCGCAGGATGGTTCCGCACCATGTTTGGGGGTAAGACAAAGGAGAAGGGCAAAGGATTCGAAGTTGTACGAAGCTCGCGAATGCCACCGGCCATGCGTGCAGCCGCCGACGCAGAGTACGACGCTGAGCCCCCACCAGAAGGAATCCCGGTAGCCATGGGTGTTTTGAGAAACGGGCCCATTGAATCAGACGACGATGAACCGAAGAACAAAGCGGCACGAAAACGCCCCGAAAATGCAGAAAACTCGGAAAACCTGCTCAACGATGATGGCGTCTCGGTCGTTTCGGTCGAATCGGAGATCGAAGAGATCGTACTACAGAAAGTGTCTGATGCACCACCAACCTTGCCAGGTATCGCAAGTTCTGGCAGCTTCAAACTGCCCAGCCGGGTTCCTTCCAAGGCAAGCCGGTCAGCTTCACAGAAACACAGGCGCCAATCCACGGAGTCGGACATCCCCGAAATACCTCGCAAGAGCTCAAAGAGAGATTCTGGCATGGGCCGGGGGCACTCTCCAACCCCTTCGTTCAACCTTATACCGCCAACGTCGCCCGCTGGGCCATTAAATGGCGAGCCTTCAGGAAGCACGACAGCACAGGGTAGCCTTACTTCGTCCCCAAATCCCGGGCGACTTCCCTTTGAGCGGACAGAATCTCATCAAAAACGACTCTCTTCTAACGGTTCATCCCTGGAAGAGTTCAACATTCGTAGGACGCCAAGTACCGAGCGGCCAACCAGCTATGGGGTAGTCGCGCAGCACAGCATCAGCAGGGTCGATCCTGGCTCTGATCAGCAGGTCGACTTACTAGGGACTTCTGCTGAGCTCGTCGACGAGCGAGGGCCCTCCAGCAGGAGCTCGTCGGCAGGAGGCAGAGGTCAGTGACGCAGCACGTCACTCTACCCGACGCGCACTTTCCTTTTAATTATATTTTGTTTTAAATAGGTCACTTAATGTCATTTCAGGGTGGCCTATGAGTCTAATTGTACACGATGTATAAATCCACAAGAGGGGTAACCTAATTCCTCTGTGCAGAGCAAGCGGGATATGGTCGGGAACGGAGTACGGTTGGTACAATTGGCCTTGGGTGCTTATTAGCGACGGCGTCTTAAAAACTGGACCAGGCTGGTATCTGATGAGCGGCCTGTCATTCTTATCATCGAGAATCTCATTACTTTACGGACGATGGCGGGGCCGAGAATTATATCTAGTTATGACACTGCCTCCATCGAGCTCAGTCCCAGATCACCAACTTAATGAATGCCTTTTTTTCCCATTTGCTAGTAGTGTATTGTATTTCCGTAGACTTGGACTTTCAGATCCCGTACACCATGAAGCTGGGTATCGTTGGGCTATGACGGTGCGGAACAGCCGGCCTTCTCGGTTTCGGGCACACCGGACTGAGGTGGTCTGTTGCGGTTACACCACGCATAATTCAGTATTTTACTGAGCCAAAAAGGTTCAAGTTCCTCCACGTTTGATAATCAATGGTAAAGACCCGTGTACCACATGGTGGAGAGAGGTACTGGACCTAAGTTGTTCACCTTTCAACTCTAGCGACGGTGAGGGTCGGTGAGTGAGAGGTTTTCGGTGTCGAGTAACCCCGCCATCGTCATGGCGTTATCGATAAGATTACAACACTGCGATAACAATTTTTTCGACTGGCCCAGTTTGAACCCATCATTGCGACTCTGCCTTGCCTAATGAGTCCAGCTCACTCCTCACTCCTCACTCTCATCACTCGATTAGATTCCTTACAACAAATTCATGAAAAATTCATAATTCTTTCGTTTAGAACCATTGCATTCTTCTTCTGCCAAACATCACATTCATCACCACAAAATGGCGCCAGCCCGCCCCAACAAGAAGTCAAAAAAGAGAACGCAAAAGAAGCCCGCCAACGCGGCACACAAGCTCGTCGAAGCCGCTACAAAACTGACAGAAGGCGACTTGGAGAGCGCCTACTCGGCTGGCAAGGAGGCCCTCGATGTAACGGGCGAAGGCGGCGATTATGAGCTGGCGGCATTGAACCTCCTGGGCCAAATCAGCGTCGAGATGGGCGAGGTGGACGAGGCGAGGGCGTACTTCTTGCGCGCTGTCGAGCTGGACCCGGAGGGCGCCCTCGACGAGCGCATAGGCGGCGGGCCGGAAAAATTCCTCTGGCTCGCGCAGCTCAGCGAGGAGGGAGGACAGGACAGCGTCAACTGGTTCGACAAGGGCGCGCAGTCGCTGCGGGGCCAGATCCAGGCGCTTGTGGACCTTGACAAGCGCAGCGCCGAGCAGGACTCTGCGCTGGACGAGAAGAAGCAGAAGCTCGGCGGGACGCTGTGCGCCGTGGCGGAGGTGTACATGACGGACCTGTCGTGGGAGGCGGACGCGGAGCAGAGGTGCGAGGCGCTCGTCACCGAGGCCGGCTTGGTCGCGCCCGACTCGGCGGAGACGTGGCAGACGGTGGCCAACGTGCGGATATCGCAGGAGAAAATTGACGAGGCGAAAGCGGCGCTGGCGAGGAGTCTGGAGCTGTGGGTCGACTTGCCACCGCTGGATCCCAACGTGCCGGCGTTCCCTACGCGCATCAGCCTGGTGCGGCTGCTGCTCGAGGTGGAGATGGAGCAGGAGGCGATTGAGGTCCTTGAGAGGCTCGTCGGCGACGACGACGAGAGCGTCGAGGCGTGGTATCTCGGCGGGTGGGCTCTGTTTATTGCCGGCGACAAGGTCAAGGCCAAGGGCGAGGCGGCGCAGCTGGGCGAGGACGAGGAGGACTGGAAGGTTACGTGGGATACGGCACGGCGGTGGTTGATGCGCTGCTTGAAGCTGTACGAGGCGCAAGAGTACGAGGATGAGAGGCTGGGCGAGCACGCCAAGGAGCTGTTTGCTTCTATCAACAAGGAGCTTGGCGAGCCCCCGGCCGGCGCAGAGGATGAGGAGTATGACGATGGATGGGAAGATGCTGGTAGTGACGGTGACGAGGCGATGGAAGAGTAAATGACATGGCATGGTTGGCACTTCATATAAGACAACGTTGATGATAAACGTTATGACCACTGGGAAGTTTCCCTTCGTCAACTGGGATTTGGGAGTTTGGAGTTTGGTACTGGGAAAAAGTTGTCAAAAGTCATGAGGTTCCTCTTTCTCCGTAAGAGGATCCGTTCGTCGAGGCATATAGATGAGGGTTGAGAGCCAGAAATCGCAACCATTTTTCTTCTTAGATTGCCCCTTTCCAACAAAAAGAAAAAAGAAAAAAACGCCGAGTAAATGCACTGAATTTGTTTTCCTCCACGACGGATACTATACCGCCTCGACCTTGAGCTTCTCGACACCCTCCGCAAGGCTCCCTTCATCCTCTTCATCAAAGTCAGCCTTGCCAGCGAGACCTCGCTCCCACAGCTGCCTCCCCGACAACTTGACGGGCTCCTTGACCTTGGCCTTCTTCAGCTCGGCGAGGCGTTCCTCCTCCTCCTTCTCCTTCAACTCCTTCATCTCCTTGAAGAAATCGTCACGCCACTTTAGGAACGTCTCGGGCGTCACGGGTGTTCCGTGGAATTTCTTGTTCTCCTCGCGCTCGGCGGCCGCGGCCCGCTCCTCCTTCTCCTTCTCCTTCTGCTGCTTGCGCTCCTCGACGAGCATCTCTGCGGCCTCCTTCAGCGCCGACACGAGAGAGAAGACCATGGCCATGCCCAGATTCTCCTGAATCGTCTCCTCAAGGCCCTTGAGGAGCTGGTCCTTGTCGTCCGCGACGCTGAACCACTCGTAGGGCGCCGCATCACGCACGGATTGCAGGTCGAGGGTGGGTGGCTCGTCGGGGTATGCGTCTGGGTATCGGACCTGGAGGAACATTGTTGGCGGGTCCTCCTCTTCGCCGGGGATGTCAAGGGCGATTTGTATTCTGAACTCTGTCTCTGAGATGTCTATATGATCCGGGGTTTAGTGGATGGGCTGGCTCAAGGTGGCATGGTGGGGTAATTGTACCGGTGATCTCATCTGGGAAGATGGATTCGAGCACCTCGCGCTCTTCGACTTGTTCTTCGCGCCCCATCTTGAGTTGTCTGTGTCTTCCAGGAGACTTCTGGAAGCTTGGGGCAATGCGCTGGTTGCTGTTTTGTAACTACAAGATGCTGTTGAAGATGTAGCTAGCGGCTCGAAGATGGCCGTTGATGGCAGAGAGGTACGTACATGCACAGTGGTGGGGTGGTGAGTTGAATCCAGCTTAGCGTTGTTCTGACCGCCCGGCAATTCAAATAAAAATTTCAGAAATTCCCTAAGCAATTGCGACTGCTATAGGTTCCCACCCGTGCAGTCCAGTCGCTTTGCTTCCTTTGTACGCCGAGAAAACGTTCACACTTTGCGATCGATTATCCCGGCTGTCCACCACAACCACAACAGCCAGCCAATTCCTCACAATGGCTTCCACCGGCGTCAAGAGAAAGAGTGCCCCTGCCGCTGGCAAGGGCGCTTCCGACGGAAAGTTCAACAAGAAGGCCAAGGTCGATTCGAAGAAGAAGGCCCAGCCCGTCGAGACCCCCGAGGAAGATGATGAGGATAACTTTGATGATTCTGAGGACTCGGACGACGGTGGCGTCCAGCTTACTCCTCGCGACCGGGCCCAGCAGGCTCAGGCCAAGGGCATGAAGGATGGCGCCAATGGTGCCAGCAAGAACACGAATTTTAACCAAGAGAGAGGTAAGGAACCTATGCGATGCATTGCCTGGCCGGTGGAAGCTTGCAATTGTACTAACTGTGAGAATTGCAACAGGCCAAAACTCGAGAGAGTCCCATGCCATCCAGAAAAAGCTCGCCCTGGAGCGCAAGATGGCCAAGCCCCTCGCCGACGAACTCGCCCGAACCAAGAAGATCTGGGAGAGGTTGCGGAGAAAGTCCCACGTTCCGTCCGAGGAGCGAAAGCAGCTAGTCGACGAGCTCTTCACCATCATCACCGGCCGCGTCAAGGAATTCGTCCTCAAGCACGACGCCACGCGCGCTGTCCAGACCGCCCTCAAGTACGCCACGGCTACGCAACGGAAACAGATCACCCGCGAGCTGCAGGGTACCTACACCCAGCTTGCTGAGAGTCGATATGCCAAGTTCCTTATCGCCAAGATGGTGGTGCAGGCCGACGGCGAGATTAAGGACCTCATCATCCCCGAGTTTTACGGCAAGGTGCGGAAGTTGATCAACCACCCCGAGGCTTCATGGATTTTGGACGACATCTACAGACAAATTGCGACGAAGGAGCAGAAGGCCATCCTTCTGAGAGAATGGTACGGACCCGAGTTTGCTCTCTTGGAGCGCAGCAAGGATGAGAAGCCGACTTCAGACCTGGCGACGATCCTCGAGCAGAACCCCAGCAAGAAGGCCTACATCCTCAAGAGTCTCAACGACATGATCAACTCGCTGGTCCAGAAAAAGATGACCGGTTTCACAATGCTTCACGACGCCATGCTACAGTACTTCCTCAACGTCGAGCCTGGTACGGAGAACTTCAACCTGTTTGTTGAGATGATCAAGGACGACGAGGAGGGTGACCTGCTGAAGAATATGGCCTTCACCCGCTCTGGATCCCGATTGGTGTCTCTTCTTCTGGCCCATGGTTCCTCCAAGGACCGCAGAAACCTGCTCAAGGCATACAAGGACAACTTCGTGCTGATGTCGGGTGACGCCAATGCTCACATTGTGATTCTCACCGCTTTCGATGTCATTGACGACACGAAGATGTCATCAAAGGCTATCTTCCCCGAGCTGATTGGCGACGAGAAAGAGAAGGCGACAGACAATATCGTTGTTTCAACATCAAATCCCTTCGCGAAGGCCACGCTTCTGTACTTGCTGGAGGGCCAGACCCGGGCTCTTTTCCCTGACAATATGAGCGATGATCTTACGATTCTCAAGGAGGTCCATGCCATTCGCGAGACCACTAGTAAGAAGGATGCCGAGATAAGAAGGAAGGAGCTGATTGCTGTTATGTCGCCTGCGCTCATAACAGCCGTTGTTGAAGCTGCACCGGTTTTGGTCGCAGACCCTTTCGGGTGCCAGCTGGTTGCGGACGTTCTGCTTTCTGCGGAGGGCGACAAGACAGCAGCTCTTGAGGCCGTAGCAGCAGTCGCTGAGGGCGACCCCAGCGCCGAGCCCATGGAGGTGGAAGGTGTCCCTACGCCTGTTCACGTCTCGCGGACAGCGTTCGGAGGTCGGTTGATCAAGACGCTCATTGCGGGAGGCAGGTTCAATAAGGAGACCGGCAAGGTCGAGCTCGCCGAGCCACCATTGAAGTTCGCTGATGTTCTGTACCCGATTGTCAAGGACTATATCATGGACTGGGCCACGGGCCCGAGCTCCTTTGTCGTTCTCAACATGCTGGAAGCCGAGGACTTCAGCCACGCCTCTGAGCTGAAGAAAACGCTCAAGAAGCACAAGAAGGACCTTCAAAAGGCCGCCACTGAAGAGACGGCCGAGCAGAAGGAGGCCAAGGAGGCCAGGGCCCAGAAGGATAGCGAGAATAGCGAGAAGGGTGCCAAGAAGGGTAAGAAGGGTGCTAAGAAGGCAGACAGGCCCGTAGGCAACCTTGGCAGCAAGCTTCTGTTGGAGAAGTTGTAAGCGATATCGTATAAAACGTAACCGGACTGGCGAGCAAAAAGTTCTTCCCAATATTTTGAAATACCCACACAGGCGTGGCAGTCTGACTACCTGGTGTGTCGATGGCGTGCAATAGGTTTAGCTGGGGTGGTGGCATTAATAGATGGAGTATGGTTTGGCTGGTTTCTGATTCAAAGCTTTTGGGCGTTGCCCGTCCATCGAGCCGTGATCTTTCTCTTCTTCATCGCAACCGTCCTTGACTGAGATCTAGCCGCGCATCTGAGCCTTTCCCGTCGGCTAGGGGCCACCCGTCAATGTCGGTCACTGTCTTGGTCCGTGACGCGGTGGCAGATGCAACGGGTCTGATGCATTTGGCATTTAGGCTTGTGCGACGTTGCCGTTCCGTTTCCGTCGTTCAGTGATTCTGGCCCTTGCGTCTTTTCGTGAGGGGCAACATTCGACCCCTACCCTATGAAGCACTCATCCGCGAGCAAACACCAACGCAGTCGCTCCCCGAACGCGGCGAGCAGGACCATGAAAGAATCACGAGCCAGAATCATTCTGTAGTACACGTTGGCGTTTATTGATCCTCTCGATTTGGGGCGAGGACACCTCTAGATTGCCGTGTAAGTGCAAGTTAGGGACTGTGGTGCTGCCTTGGCGGGATCGCCAGTCCGAATTTGAATGCCTTCAAGCACCGCATGAAAATGGTCAACATTCACCGGGTCACCCGAGCACATAGTCCATCGTGCTAAACGAGGAAGTTACGTTGCAGGTAGGTAGGTACTTACCTCACGACCCTACCTTATGGTCAGGTAAGGCAGGCACGAGGTGAGGCCGGTCACACAGCCGTCCCTTCCTTCCTTCCATCCCAAATGACAGACCGCCAACCACCGTCCGTCGAGAGCTCCTTCCCCCTTCACCCGTGGACCTTTACACCGGAAAAACTACTCCAGCCCGTCTACCCATAATCACTGAGTTGGCAGTGCGACTTTTCTCTTGTTCGCTGATTCACTTTGGAGGAATACCGTCTCGTAACCCACCTCCAAGCTTCTCATCGTCACTCATTTACCACACTTCCATTTTGCTTCATCTCTCGTCATTACCATCGCTATCGTCATCGCAGTCACTGCTTCGACGGTGGTACACAACCCATAGACCCTTGACTGTGTCATACTTTTCCTTTGCTTCTCACTCATCACGCCGGTTGATTTGTTCAACAAGGAAAATGTCGTCAACCGCCAACATGAGCGTCTTCATTTCTGCCAGAGAGGTGAAGATGTGCCCGATCGGCTCATACCACTACACTTGCCAAGGTTTCGAGGGTTGCTGCCAGGTGAACCCTTGTGGCGATGGCCGATGTCTGGATGAGTTCAACCCTTACTTGACTGCGACGGAGCTCCAGGCCCAGAAAACCATCGCATCTGTCGCTGCGCCGGTCTTGGTCTCTCCCACTGCATCTTCGTCGAAGGCGACCTCTACTACCACTGACAAGAAGGTCCAGACTTCGACCTCCTCCGGAAGTCCGGCTACTACCTTCAGCACGCCCGAGCCCACCGAAACCGGAGGTATTTGGCTCACTGACGATGGCGGTTCTGTTTCTACTGTCACCTCCGACGATCCCACTGGAACTCCATTCTTCGTTTCTCCCTACACTTACACTTCAACTATCCCCGTTGAGACCCAGGCCGTCGACGCTTCGGCTCCTGCCCTGGCGGTCAAGTCTGATCAACATGACCTCCCGGTCGCTGCGCAGGCTGGCATCGCTGTCTCTGCCTTGGTCGTGATCTGCATGGTTATTGCTGCCTACTTTCTCTGCACCAAGCAGAGAAAGAAGCTCAGAAATCGAGAGTCCATCAGCTCCATGAGCAGAGACGGACGCAAGCACAGTTCCGAGGGCGAGATCAGCCAGCCGGCCATGACTACCAATTCGTTCTGCCCCGAGGAGGTCTTTTCCCCCTACGGAAGTAAGCTGCTTTCTACTGTCCGCTATTGCATAAGAGAAAGGAAGCTGACAACTCACAGGACGTTACGAAGAGCCTCAAACCCGCTTCAACCGAGTCAATGATCAGAGTGCCAGCCGAATGATGAATCACCCGGTCAGTCTCGATACCCGCGAGTCGATGTCTACGCGGATGCCGGCGGTGCCGCCGACGCCTTCTCCTGCGATGTTTCCCGGCACATTCAGAGCTACCACGGCCAGTCCTGACTTCTTGTCTCGCACCACGACCGCAACTCCCGATCTGGGCTATCGCACGGCCAATTCCACTCCTGACTTCACGTCCCGTATGACGACCCCAGACTACATGTCTCGGCTGGGCACTGCCACCCCTGAGCTCCATGGCCCCCCTCAGCAAGCAGCCATTGCTGAGCTGGCCTCTCCTGGTCTGCCGAAGGTTGTCGAGATCCATAGCAGTCGCAGCGGCTTACAGAAGTACAAGCCGTACTGCCCGAACGGCGGCTCACTCTACCCTGTTGCGGAGACCACTCCCAGCTACCTCACCGGTACTCTGAACGCCACGGAGCATGAGTGTTCGCAGGGCAGATATGTGACTAGTTGGTCAAAGTGGGATTCTCCTACCTGAGAGAACTTCGACTGATACTGCTTGATATCTTGAGGTTTGGTTCTGGTTCTAAGGAAAGGAAAGGAAATGGCTTCGGCTTTCGGCTTTTGGCAGGCGTTGACGATACCCAGGCTTGCTTTTCGGATACGTGGTTTGCCTGACCTTGCTGGTTCTTGTCAGAGTACATTCAACGCACAATTGGGATGGTTCAAATGGAAATGCAACAAATGGAAATGCGATTAGAAATTGAGATCAAAGGTCACCCATAGCTAGGCCTATTAATGGTTATCTCTACTCCGCTCAATGAAGAAACGGATTATGCAGCTCACCCTGCTACTACGAGTAGTGCCTACCTAAGTTTGTTAGTAATTAGTGAGTGCCTTGAACAACTGTCTTTCGAAGACCATTGCATCGTTTTATGAGTTCGGATGTGATCTCTTTTTGCCGAATTCATGGGTATTTGGTATTCAACACATACTTAAAGACAATCTGATCCCCTTCCGATTTACGCCAAACATGCAGTTTGTACTTCTCGCGCAGAAGCACTTCCATAGCCGTTTCACTTTCTCTCCTCGCCCTTAAACCTTGGGCCATGCAGACTCCCTAGTTTTCAACCGCTGGGAAGTGTCATGGGCAACGAAAGAAGGGTGGCTTTATTGGGATTACCCAGCTCCTGACACCCTTCCGTTTCTGCCTCTGTCCAGCTGCGGTGCAATTCGTCAACGGTTAAGCCCGTCATCTGCTCTGGAGCTTGCTGATCTCGTCGAGAAGTATTTGGAGGTCATCGTCGGAGATTTTGTCTTGTAGGGACGGAATGAGTGTCTTGGCTTCCTCGGCCGTTTCGCAGCAAAGCGACCCTGAAGAAGGCAAAATCCAGTTAGCATGTGCTTCTGACCCGGTGAGCAGGCAAGTGGAGAGTGTATGGGCGCGGACCTATTTGTGCACGCTCGAATTTGGCGAGCTGCTTGTGTGCGGAGAGCAGTCGTTCGACGGCCTCGACGTTCTCTTTCTGGCGGAATCGGGAGAAGGCGTCGAGGTAGTTGAGAGTCTGTGTCAACATCCTATAGAGAGAGGAAAGCGATCCAGTCAGCCGCCTGAGAGGCACAAAGAAGAGCGGCAGCAGCCATGAAAACGAAGAGCATTGCTGAAAGAGCGAGTCGTCATTATGAACTGGACGTACTCGGTCTCGTTAATGTTCTTGCGATCCATCTTGCGCTTGGTCACGAGCGCGTTGATGACGAGTGATGCTTCAGACAACGTGAGCGTGTCGACGTGTTGGAATTCGCCGAGGTTGAGGATGGACGATGCCTCTTCGCTGCCCGGGGGAGGGGGCTTCGGGCGCGAGGTGGGAGCGTGATGCGACATCTTTGGAGTCTTCGCGACTCGTGGTCGTTAATTCGGGGGATGGGAGTTGGAAACTGTTTTACAGTTCGCGCTGGTCAGGTATCGGAGCGTCAACCCTTTTGCCGTGAGAGCTGGTGTCGCGTCGATTGGGGGGGGGTTTGGACGAGGCGAATGGAGTCGCGGGGGGTTGTAGTGGGAGCAAGCCGTTGTCGGCGAAAGCTGTAGGTAAGAAAAAGGTGGGTTGTAGATGAGGCTGAGAATTTCCCAAAGGCGGGTGCTATGTCTTGGGAATGCCCACCCCTGGTGCTTGCTTGCCTTGTCGCCCAGGGCAGGAAGGTCAGGTCGGGGTCCCACTGAGCGCGCCTCGCAATGTCTATGGGGCTAGCGCAGGCACCAGAAGGGGGGCGTTTGTCCAGGGGACCTTGGTGTGGATTTAGCGACTCGTGTGCACGAAGAGGGTGAGGTGTACGGAAGGTACCTACCTGCCTGGGCTGGGCTGCTGCCAGGAAGAAGACCGGTACGAGGTACCGGCTCCCTCACCCACATCTCCTAAGCTAACCTGAGGCCAGATGGGGATATCGAGAGCGACTGTATGAGTGCATGCTTCAGATATCGCATCGATGAGAACACTCTCAAATCATTACCATATTTCCCTTTTCAAAGAGTCATCAGCTGTGAGCTGGTTCGACTACTGAAACTATGTACACAACCCCCTGACCCGAAGTGAACAAGGCCGCTCACTGACCTCGGCGACAGGACCGTATTCTCGCTCATCGTGATCAACAAGGCCGGAGGCTTGATCTACAACCGCACATTTCACGAGGGCGGTCTCAACCAGCTAACGACGAATGACTATCTTGTCTTGGCAGGAACATTTCACGGGTGAGAACACATATGCCCTTGACCGTTCATACCAAGAGGGAAATGCTTACGCAACGTTCAAAAGCGTCCATGCCATCACCGCCCGTCTCAACCCTCTGATGAGCCGGCAAGATGCCGCGGCCGCAGCAACAGCAGCCAGCGTGACCGCGGCAGGCGGGATACCAGCACGGCCTGAGCCGCCAACGGGACTAGAGGTTATGGAGACGGAGAACTTCAGGCTGCAGTGCTTCACCACCATGACGGGTACAAAGTTCCTACTCTTCACCGATACAACTCAGACCAACATCGACGTAACGCTTCGGAGGATATACGACCTGTACAGCGATTATGTCATGAAGAACCCGTTTTATCAGCTCGAAATGCCGATCCGCTGCGAAATGTTTGAACGGAAATTATTATCATACATTCGGGAGATCAACAATCGATAGGTTCAGAGCAACGTCGCCACGGACGATAGACAGAGCGATGGTGAGGATGATTCAAGGGAGTCTAATTTCGTTTGGTTTGGGTAAAGCTCATTGCGAGACGGCGTTTGTGGGAGTCAGAGGCCCTTCTATTGAGCAGCATGTTCCTGTAGGACCAAGCCAATATTCTATTTTACATACTCGAGGTAGTGATCAGGCAAAGAACGAGTAAGACGATTCGAAAGCAGCTGTTTACGAAGTGTCCATCGAGTCGTCATCCTTCTTGTCCTTCTTCTTGCTTGACTCGCCATCCTTGCCAAGGAGGGGCGCACCCTCGCCCTCCTCCTTGATGTCTTCAAGAGATCCCTTCTGACCGGACTCGGCTTCCTCGCGCGCCTTCTTCTCCTGCCGTGCCTTCTCGTCTTCCATACTCATGCGAAGCGCAAGTGCCAGCTCAGGGTCCATGGCAGGGTCGAAGTCGAACTCGCCAAAGTTGCCGCCTCCGCCGCCGCTTTCCATGCCACTGCCACCACCACCGCCTCCACCGCTTCCGCCAGCATTGTCTCCAAGAAGGATCGGGCTCGAGATAAGCTGGTCGCTGAGAAGCTTGCTGCTTGGGGGGATGACGACGAGGTTGGAGCCCTCACCACCCTTGACGGTCTCGTTGAATGCTTGCAGCTTCTTCTGCGTGTCGTCGTCGTCCAGGTCACCGAACAGTACGAAATCGACCGAAACGTTGCCCTTCTTCATCTTCTTAGCCAACTGAACTAGCTTCTTCTCGTCCTCCTCGATGGGCGAGCAAACGAAGACGATTATCCGTTGTCGTTGGGACTTGTTCTGACGGTGCTTGAGGGCAAGCTGAGAGACACATTAGCAAAAGGCCAGATGGTCAAATTAGCAGCGGTTATACTAACGCCGGCAACTTGGATGCCAGTAGCCAGGTGTGATGTTCCCTTGATCTTGGTCTTCGTACGGTGCAATCCGTCCAAGATCTTGCCCTGATCTGTCGTTAGGGTGACCAACACCTCAGGGCCCTTGCCACCCATGCTCATCAAGCCGACCGAAGACTCAGGGTTTCCATTTGTGATAGTCTGGAAGATAACATTGACGGCGTCGGCTTGGGAATCGTATCTTGTGGGTTGGTAGTCACCGTTGCGACTGCTTTCGCTGTTGTCTACAACGACCATCACCGCTTCGAGGACCATCTTGACGGTTCGGGCGGGGCACCGACGTGTATTGCGGGAGGGAGGATTCTTTGTGGAGTTTGTGCAATTTGAATGCTTTTTGATGTCGTCGTCGGGGTTGAAATTGCTTAAGCGTTTGAGGATGGCGATGTTGATCGGGCGAGCTTCGGATGGGGAAGGGAAGCTTGATGTTCGACGTGGGTTAAGATAGGTAGGCAGGCAGGGTGTGAGAGCTCCTGCGTAAGGCAGTTCAGCCTGGTGACGCTGGTTGCGTAAGACATGGGTAGAGGTACCTGATAGTCCCCGTAATCGTGGCCTACTTGTAAGTATCGAGACTCAGGACCAGGCGCCTTGACAAAACACCGTATCGGGAAGTAGTACTGTGCAAATATGAGCCGGTCAAAGCGAGTTACAAGGATATATCACTGTCGTTGCCGCCGGAGTTTAGTAACTGACACAGGGCCTTGTAGGCTTGCTCAGTTACAGGTCCCATCTGGTCTAAGCCCCCACGCATCTCGCCTTGCAAATTGCTACCAGCACAGGTATCGGAAAAACATGCTTTCTCTTTTTCCAAAGTTTCTTGCTAGGTCAAGGAGATAATAAAAGAGTACCTCAATGTCAAACTTGCACTGAAAACTACGAGTACGGTTATGAACAGTTCATTGAAATATACACAGGGCCATGAACCGTGGTTGCCAACTTGATGTGGGACCCATTGCGATCCATGAATGGCCGGGACTAGCCAAGCTTCCATTGGCTTAGGTAAGGGTCTTGCCCGCTGTCACGTTTGTTTACTTTCTAGAGCACTAGCCACTCATAACAGAGCCTCCGCCCCATCATTCTTAGCTCCATCAACTTTCACGCTCCCGTCGCGATCAGGCACGTCGGTCCAGCGCCAAACGCTCTCACCCACAACGACTCGTAACTTTCAGCAGACGAAATGCCTTCAGCGCGATCGAACAAGAGAAGCTCAGATGAGATGGAGCAGCAACCCACGATGACACAGAGACAAATGGTTTCGGCGAAGGCTAGCACGCCTCCCATGCTAAGCAGCAGCCCGAGCAAGCGGCAAAGGCTTGGAATCTCCCTGGAGCAAAAACAGGCAATCATCGATAACCTGCAATTGGAGAGTAAGGAAAAATCCTCTTGGTCTTTACCGCATCGTCTCACGATTTCACAGTCACAGATCGCGCTAGGCGACTGCGCGCACAATACAACCAGCAGGCACAAACCCTTCGATCACGAATCCAGATGCGCGTCAACCGCGTTCCCAGAGCTATGCTAAAGATGACCATGGCCGACTTGGTAGCTAGAGCCGTCGAGCAGCAGAAACGTCTTGAGGCCGTTTCGCGGCCGCCACCTGTTCCCGAGAAGGACTTCCCTCTACGGGGAAGCCCGCATAAGCTGGCTCCGCCGGCGCGCTCTGCTAAGCGACTGAGGTTTGTGTCCATGAGAAACAATGGTATTTTGCTTTACTAACACGCTATGTTAGTGATGCTATCGCAGGTGGAGACAAGGAGAACGAGCAGATCCTCAACCCTAAGAAGAAGCACCGCGCTGCCCCAGCCCCATTGAGTTCGTCGCAAGTCTTGTCGCCCACCTCATCCAACACCCGATCGCTGGCACGCGAGCGGCCGCCTTCCTCGCCATCGAAATCCTCGCAGATTGCGCGACCGACATCCTCTCCCGTTAAGCAACATAATAGCGCCCGATCAGCCCTGTCGAGCATGGTGGAGAAGGCAAAGAAGACGAGTCGCACAGCTCCTTCGCGTCCTTTGAATGCATCGACGGCCAGCTCGAATGCATCAGCGCCTGCACCTGCCACAGGAACGGCAGCCCCCACACGAACGCGACGAGCCAACACAACCACGGCATCTAAAGCACCGTCACGGCCTGGTACGCGGACGGGCAAGCGAGTCAGCGACTCTAGTGAGGGCAGCACTGGAACAGTTGTCAAGAAGACAGCAGCGGGAGCACCCGCGAAGAGAACTGTGATGAGCACAATTAGAAAGGGTGTTGGGGCTGCAACCGCCAGGAAGCCCGCTGCGCCCAAGTCGGCTCCGGCATCTGCGGCGGGTACCACCAGGGTACTACGAAAAAGGGGTTAGCTCCTCAGTGATCTAAAGGAGCAACCATTGATTGTTTGAGGCTATCACTTTCATGGCGGGGCTGTTGCTGAGCGTACTTGGGCATAATCACTATGGGTTGGATTTTTACGGCGTATTGGGAATAATGACAGGAACATGATGACGGCTAGGCATACTTCAATTGATGGATTACGCCATTCAGGCTCAAGCTGTCGGGGCAGCCTTTTTCTTCTTATCCTCGACCAGCTCAATGTTATCCTCGGGTATCTCCTTGTACTTTTCCAACAAAAACTCCTCGATCTCGTCACTGACGTCTCCCTGGACAACAATCTCCTCACTGCCGCTTGGGGTCTTCGTAACGGACGAGCCGGTCGCGAACTTCTTTCCAAACTCCTTGGCGACCTTCTTCAACTCCAGACCGAATGACTCGAGACCGGAGACCGAAG